AAGAAACGAGAGAGTATTAAATATTATTGAACAATAGTTTCAAATTATATTATAAATGGGTAAAATAGGAAATATAAATTATGGCTGACAAGGGCATCTGTTATAGAAAACAAACCTCAAGGAAGGTTTATGTAAATTTTGAGAAGTGAAGCAGCATCTCTATAATAGTAAGTTACTTCAGGGGGTCTCTTCTAAATTTTATGCCCACGTAGTGTTCTCATATAAGCTAAAACTGCTTAACCTTCCAATCTCCTTTTTCTAAACTCTCACTTTCAAGCCCACAGCACCAGTATTTTCAATTTAAACTGAACAGGTCCTCCTTGATTTAACTTAGCAGCAAACTTAACATTTAATTTCTCCTCTGCCTTTTTCATTTTTTTAGCAAGAAAATGGCCAATATTCCTTTGAATGCTTCAGCTACAAATAACCACTTCAAAATCGCCAAATCCAGAAAACGATAGTCCCACGTTTTACATTTCCAAAACAAAATAAGATAGAATCTTGTCTTCCCCTCATATGCCAATAAACATGTGGAAAGATATCTAAACAATACCATGACCTCATATATCTTCTCCTTCTAATAGAAAATCGAATTCTTCTATAGGTTCGTTCTTTAGCAACCGATTCCATCTGATGGGAACCTGATTGCTGAGAATAACCTCAGTCAATCTTTCTAAGTGATCAACTAAAATGAAGAGGCCTCAAAGGTCCGTTAAAATCAATCTCCAAAATTTTGAACAAAGAAGTGAAAAGAAACTGAATGACAAGTGAAGCAAAATCAGCTCTCAAAATCCCCACAGAGTAAAACTTCCAAGATGAACTGAGAGCATTGGAGGAACCAAATCTGCCCACCAATTCCGCCAAATGCCTTCAAGTTCACCAAAAAGCACATCCACTTGAATTCTTGGCACTCCTGTCCTGAGATTCTTCAGTCACCTCTTTCCATCTTCATATATCATTGTCATTGAACTATTTTTCTAGCTCAGTGGCTTCAATTTCATGTTGTACAACTACCCTCCTTTATTCCTACTACTGTGCTGGATTAGTTTATTACGTGATCAAGTTTTTTCCTTGTTCCCCTCCAACTACACCACCAGGACTTCACGCCTTATTTGCCAACTAGACTGCATCATTTCTCCTTCCAGTATACTTTTGTGATTTGTCTTATATCAAAACGTTATGATATGTTGAATTTAGATTACTCTTAGCAGTAGGATATATAGAACTCAAGGGCCAAGGCCTAAGTCCCCTTCTCATCCACACCGATATTCTCCCTCAATCAGATAAATTTTCCAAACCTTTAACCCACTAGAAATCTCGAAGCATAAAGCAGTGCCTGATCTTGATCTCTAGTCAGCAGACTTGCAATTCTCGAGCCTTTAATGTTTTCTACAACAAATATCTACATGCAAATACCAATTCTAGTCAATACTGTTTCCTGGAATTTGTTAGCAGAAACGGTCCTTGGGCTTCTGCAGCTCAAAACAATCATTAGAAAACAGAGAAAATTTTGCTTGAGTAAGGGATACATAATCAATTACATTTCTACATTAGCTTAATCTTGTAATAGTGTCATTTCCTTGTCCTATCTAGCCATTTACTCATTTAATACTGAATCTGTAGTGATAGAGTTTCCATTTCTGCCGCCAATATTTACAAAGAATGCTGGCTACATCTCGTGGTCAGTGTCGTCTCCAACCCAGAAAAACTACTTCCCATCATCCAGCTTCTAGACATTATCCTATTCATGTGAAACTAAATAATATGTCCAAGTACGGAACTGCATAAACTTTATTCAACCAGATTATCTTCTTGTACAGTGCTCTCTTTGTGACGTACCATTATTTCACTTTTCAGATTGGAGATTCTGTGCTATACCTATTGATTTTACTCTAAATTCTTGAAGGAATTCTTTTTAGTGTATTATTAATCTCTTTTATTGTTTAAGGACCCCGTTATATGCCTCTTTGCCAACAAAGATAAGAAAACAAACGACAAAAAGATACTTTTCAGCAGTTCTATGGATCCTTTTAACAATAAATTAATCGAAACATTGTTATAATGTGTGATTCAGAAGATTGAAATCTACAGAAATGGCAACAGCAAGTATGTGTTTAAATTTAAATAAGGTATATAGGTTACAAGTACTGAAACTTGAAAGTATAAACTCACCAAGAAGTCGAGGAATTTGACCCTTATGAATATCCCCATCAGCAATAGATTGTCCATACTGCATGATTTCCTCCCCTGACTGTATTGCAGCTGACTGGAAAAAGATGACAACGTGATGTAGGACAATCCTACTGTAAATAGGATTGTAATTATATATTTATAATAAGATGTCTAGTTATAAAAAGTTTTATCTTTTTATTCTAATATTTTGTTTAGAATATGATTTCTTTTCTTTTTTGATTAGATTAAGTTTTCTAATTTCTTTTAGATTAGGATTTTTGTTTATTTTCTTTTAGAATTTTGTTACCTTATAGATTTCTAATTAGATTAGGATTTTAGTTTATTTCCTTTTAGAATTTAGTTTCCTTATATTAATAGCATTAGGGAATAGTTTTGCCTATAAATACAAAGGCAACAATCAATTATTATTCAATATATACAAGATATGATTGTTCAAATATTATTCTTATTTATTACATAATTCTTATTACAAGATTTTCAAAATCGCTTCCGCACCACAACGTATGACCATTATCAAATTGACATAGTAAACAAGGGATCAGAATAAAATACTCTCTCAAGCGCATGCAGATTTTTGCAAGGTTACAAATGAACTACTATCAAAAGTTTCGACTTCAATAAACTAAAATCTTTAGTAATAGCAAATGCATTCACAAGTCATCAAAAAAGTTCAACTGGTTTAATAACCATTGCAAGTGGTTGTTATCCACCATCTCAGTCAGAAGGGGGTTAAGAAGCTATAACGAACCATCAAACCTATGTTACAAATGCTGAACTGGTCTCAGAGCACATTTTCATTAACCCAAGTTTGATTTTATTTCAGGTATCTTAATTTCACATCAGCGCGGACTGCAGGTCTCATGTATGAATATTTTTAATTTGCTAGTTATCATGGAACAAGAAATATATACTCAAGAAAGTAGCATTACCACCAGGTCCTGAAGCAACATCCGCAGAATATTTTCGAGCAACTGATTCTCATCTTGGACTAGTTTTGTTTGTTTCTGCAACAATAGAAAATGAAAATTTAACTAGCCACGAGATCCAAAAAGGACGATAATTTCATGAAATATTACCTAATTAAAAGTTAAAATCAAAATGAACAATTCCTTTCTGCAGCTGTGATAGTTTAATATAGAGAACAACCAGAGGAGTTTGTGACATTTGTATTTTCATACAAAGATAAAGTTCAAATTAAAAACCCACGTGAATTCCTTTTTTCTTTTGGTCAACAAAATTCCTGAAGTTCAAAATCAACCCGAATCAGAGTCACCTCAGAAAAAGAACTTGGCCATGAAAATTTGATGAACTAACGAACAAATAACATGGCCAAAAAAATATCACTAAATTATACCCTCACATGGAGACGCAAGGAAAACGCAGTTGAGTGAAGTTAAAGTCATATATAGTAACGCACCTGGTGCTTTATAATTTCTTGCACAGTCTGAAGTGCGAAATCTTCAGGTGGGCCTGGATTCAGAATTGCTTTCCGGAACACATCCTGAGGTAAAAAGAACAATTATGTTGAAAAATTATCCACCAGTTTGTTTCGTAGACAAACCCACAAAAACAAAAATAAGAAGAAAAAAAAATACCACGATGCAAAAAATATTTGCAATTTAAATTCCACGAGTTCTGAGAAGAAATAAAATAAATTAATATCAAACATTCAAAAGAGAAAACCATACCATCCTCCAGAATCTTTCTATATGCTTTGTTCTTCGCAAGAGACTCTAACCTAGGGTCTCTGTTCTAGGGTCTCTGTTGACTTGAATTTAGCACTGAAGTTGGGGGCGGGAGTCATTTTCCTTTTGACGGATTTTCTCTATTTTTATTGATGGGTTTTTTTCTTTTTGACGTGTTTTTATAATCCTAGCACTTCAATATTTTGTAGTGTTGAAAGAGTTTAGGATTCAGAATTTCAAAACTTGTACAGAGGGGGATAACGGATGAAGTCGCTCATTTGACCTCGACTTGATTCATGAACTAAAACTTGTACTAAGAAGAGATAAAGGCAAGGCAATGTCGAGCTCAAAAAAGAGCCCACTCGTGTCTATACCCAGCCAAAGGGTCAAGCCGAGCCCAACTTGTCCCTCAGCCCTACTTGTACACACCAACTCGATAAATTGATTAAGTAGAGAAAAAAATTAAAAAATATAATTCTCATCTTTTAAAAAATAAATTGTCGATCCTTCCACTAGATTCCTAATTAATGAAAAATTTATTTGCCTTGATTAATTGCAATCTCTCTTCTTCTACTGCCAAAATTATTTACTCGAGTCTTTGTAGTGTTTCTTGTTTTTCCACTTTGAGCCTGTAGAAATACAAGTGTAGCCTAAATCAACAATGCGCTGGGTTGCAATAGGGTGCTTCGTCATCCTCTTTGATACCAGAATTTTTTTTTTCAAGATGAGCTATGATATTAGCTTGAAGCCTACAGACAGGTGCAGCAACTGGTGAAAGACGAGAAAATATTTAAACAAAGTCCATTTTATGAAGAAACTAAAACTCAGTCTTTCTGGTTATAAATACATAAGAGGCCCCAAAGTCCAAAGATATCCCTATTTCACACCATATTTAATAAAACACATTGTCCAAGTCTGTGATGACTTCTTTTAACTACTCATGTATTGTCAAATACTCTTTCTGCATCAAGCCATATGTATATAGACAGGCAGCATCCTCCATTCACTATGATAAGCTAGAGCTAAATATCTACATATTGCCCATAGAGAAGCAGAAACCGACTCCAGTTATTTTTTCTAGAAATTGTAGCAATGTTTATCCTAAACGGTAGTTGAATTGAATCAGGAGGGAGAGATCCATTCAAAGTAATGGCAAAGAGCACCTCTAGCAGCAGTCCAGTTTCCACATCCAAAGAATAGGTTCCCTTGCTTAGGACCCGGTTTTCGAACCATCGCTTTGCTGCTTTTCACTCCACAATGGCAATAAGGGTGATACTGTGCTGCTTGAAATTGCAGATCCCTCGATTTATGAGGTTGAGGTGAAACAAATGGAAGATTCTGTGGGGGTAGCTTCCTTGTAAAGGAATCATCAGTAGACTGACTCATGATTGAGTTGGTAATTGAGAATTTAATGCCCTTGCGCATAAGCAAAGTAAGTAGCATGGCTGTGTTTTTTGCATCATCCAGACCACAGTGAGCACGGCCTTGCCAGGCTAAGCCAGCCATCTCAACTGCCTTTTTTAGATTGCACCTCACTCCACCAAAAACCTCATGGAAAGGAACCTTCAAATTGATCCACCTGGTGAAAGAAGCAAATAAAGTCAGTGACTGACATTAAGATAATTTTAATGTAAAACCAAGGTTAAATATTAGAGACAGCGAAGTTGAGAAGTAGAAATGTACCGATTGAAATAGGGAGGCTTTTTAAGGTTTTTGTACTGGCATTCTGATTCTAACATCACCTGACAATCCCAGTTGGACCATGTAACCACAGCAAAGTTGGTGTTTTTTATTCCCTTCTTTTCAAGCCACTCATCATGACTAAGAAGAGCTTCACTGAGAGTAACTCCCCGATCCACCTAGGTAACCCAACAATCTGTTAAGAACAACTTCAATAGATAACATAAAATTTACAACACGCACAATGTATCAAGGCTGGGTATATTAAATAGCACCACATGGTTCAATGAACAGTATGATTATATTTTTTTCCCGATTAAATTATGTGTTGAAAAGCACCACATTGGATAATTGTTTCTCTTGTTAGGAATCCCAAGCAGAGTGAAGAGGTATTTTAACCTTGAAGAAATAGATAAATAAAAGTCAACAAAAATAGTTCTCAAAGTTGGACAAATGAATGCATGTCAGCAGTGGTATCCCAAGGACAATAAAATATGCACAAAGCATTAGGCTCTTTCCCCACCCTACCCCACCCTAGAGGTGTCAAGACGGACGGGCCGGCCAGACCCGTAAAAACCGGCCCGAATCGACCTGGGATCGCGGGTCGACCCGTGATCCGAGCGGGCGATTCACGGGTCAAGGAGGTGTGATCCGTGGGCTTCACGGGTTGCACATTCACGGACCGCGGTTAACCCCTTGGCCCATGAAAAAAAAATTTAAAAATTTGAAAAAAAAA